TAATTTTGTTTTTATTTCTTTCCCCCATTATAAATACCAACCCAACCCAACATTATTTTTAACTTATTTCTACATATTCTTTCTAAGAAAAACATTAAAACACAATGTCATCATTTTCATCATCCGATTCGACGGCTTAAGAGGAGACATTATTTGTCGGTTCCGTCATGACGAAGACTGTTGTATATTTTTAAAACAGACGAGACAAATCTTCACGTTCACAATTTAAACAAAGAAAATTGCCGTTGCGTAGAAATCGCGAAGGTGGCCACAATCCTCTTATAGACTACTTTGCAGATGACGCCGTGTATGCTGAGAAGTTTCGACGGCGGTTCCAGATGAGGAATAAACTATTCTTACGTATTGTTGACGATTTGGAAGACCGTTTTCCATATTTCCAATGGAAACTAGATGTAATCTTTTAAATTGTGTTTTTTCAATATTTATTGTTTTCTAGTTTTTTTATTTTTTATTTTTAATTTTGCTTATTTAATGTAATTTTTAATTAATAAAGTGGTTTTTATTTTTAAGTAATTTTTATGTTTATTATTCATTTAAAAAGTATACATATAAATCATCAAATTCAATTATTTTTATTTGAAAAAAAAGTGGAAGAAACTTTCCACACACCCTGACTTTTGGTGAGGAAAAAAATGAAAGAAAAGATGACATAACAGACAAAAAGTAAAGTAAGCTACCCGGAAACACCCTCCGACCTAACCTAACATCATAAAATTACAATTCTAAATCAAATAACATAAAAAAAATTAATGGGGCTTCTTTATATTCTTAGGGCCAACCATAGTCTATTTGATCAGCTTTTGAAAAAAAAGGAGTTTCATACTTTTTTATTTTATTTTAAAAAGGCCGTAATAAAATAAAGTTTTGTGCCGTAAACTTTATTTTAAACAAAAAATCATAATCCAAAAATTGTTTTATACTACATACAAGAAATATGTCGTCGCTAAAAATCCTAAATGTCATTGCTATTGCCTTTAGTTGTGACATGCCACCGCTTAAAAATCACAGCTATTATACTATCGATGTTTTTGATCATATATATGTTGTTGGTAGTGTCGCCGCTATACATATATTGTTGCATTACTATCGTCATTAATAACGGTCACGACTAATGCCATCATTGTCGCTATTGATGTTGTCATTAAAGATGTCGCCGTTATTATTCTGTCACCGCTAGAGATGACGTTGTTAATACTATTTTTATAACATTTGTTGCGATGCCTAGTTGCAGCTATTGAGGTCACAAATATTTCCATAACGACTACGATCAACCCCATTGGATATATCTCATAGATGTACTTATTTTGATATATTATCTTCAATAATTTATAAAATTTATAATTACTGAAATTTATCCTTTTTCTATTTACTTATATTATAAAGTCTATATATTCAATAATTTATAAAATTCAAAGAAATATTATTATTATTATTATTATTATTATTATTATTATTATTATTATATAGCTAAGCATAAACAATCAAATAACAATAACCAATTTTCCCGGTAACGGTGCCAAAACTTGGTGGGATGTCAAGTTCACCAAGAAAATTACACAATTTGTTTGCAAATAAAACATAATATAATGGTAAAATGAGGTATCGATTATCGGAGAAATTGTTGTATTCAATCACCAATGCAATCCAATAGAACTAGTCGATACCATAGACCTTAACTGAATGGCTCAAAGTTGCAAAAACAAAAAAAATAAAAAAAAATAAAAAAAATAAAACAAATGAACAATTGTTTGTTAACTATCAACCTAAAGACTTCTTTGAATCCCTTATTTAGTGGGTGTTTGAGAGTGTTTTTTAGAATGACTTATTAACTTATTGGTTTTTCAAAAAGTCAATAAGTTAAAAGTGTATGACAAACTCTAACTTTATAGGCAAAAAAAGAGATTGTCCAAAAAGTCATGAGTCCTGGCTTTTCCAAAAAGTCAATAAACACTGAGAAGCGATCCCAAACACACCCCTAAATTTGCCTGAATGAATGATTTTTGACGTTTGAATCGAGTTATGATACAGTGATATTACACAATTGAAAAATTATCCGAAACAATTTTGTCATTTTTAGGAAGACGACATCTATGAACAAGATCTCCCCATCTTCAAATTGAAACCAATCATAAACCAAGAACTCAATACGGAATGGATTCTATCCCATCCTTTAACCCAACGAATATGGTATCCAATCCCTGAACCCAAAGAAAATAGGAGTTCGTCTATCTACCCATATACCAAATCTTTAATACCATAAAGAAAGGATCATATGAGTGTAATTTTCCACTAGGTTTGATAAATACAACGCTAATGATGGGAAGGGAGTCGATAGAAATCAAGAACAATCAGTGATTTTTAAAGGAGTCGAGAGGTGGAAGGGTGGTGAAAGACAAAAAAAAAGGAAGAGATAAGGAGTAATGATGGCAATGGCAGAAATGGGGGCACCATTAAACTCGAAATCATCGGATGTCCAATGATTCACACTGACGGCATCACCATGAGTGATTACCTTACGCAAGACTAGCGGTATTATGAAAATTTTAGGTGGTTGACGAAGGGCTAACAAAGTCTGTTTGTTAAGTCTTTGGACGCAGGCTTGATTAGCGGGGTTTACAGGTGGTGGCATTCTAGCTTATCAGATTGAGAGATAAGGAGAAATATTATGATTTGGGGATTAACCATGGAAGTCAACGGGATCAATAAGGAAAGGGTTATGATTTGGGGATTAACCCTAATATCTATTCTTCTTCCATCAAACACTAACCTCCATGAACTCACACTTATCACCAAAACCATCACTGTCACCACGACCAACGTCGCAACCTACTGTCGCCGCCACCACTGTCGACGTCACGTCTAACCACATAACCAACTTTTTAGCCATTGGATCATTAGATCAGTGGATAAGATTCATAAAGTAGCATTATTGTAAATCCTCTTAAAATTTCCACATATAAAAAATGAATACATATGAGGGTACAAAGTGGGATTTTGCATCCCTTTTTTTATTTTCCCTGGTATCTCTCAAAAACTCTTTCGCTACTAGCATCCAACATGAGAGTTGGTTATTTTAATATGTTTCTTTTTAAATTCAAATTTTAATATTGGTACTCATAT